GCTGAAAGTCCCACAAACCATATCTGCACTGAAATAGTTACAGAGGCGTGGGAGAAACACACACACACACACTTCAAAGCAAGGAAAATTAAAGTTTGAGGAACATGCTTTTGCTGCTCCCACTCTTGGAGCTCACAGCTCCCCATATAACTTCCTTATGCTTCATTCTCAAAGATAAAAAAAAAACTGTGGCATGCAATAGATTCTTCTAATGTATGATATAGTTTAGGGCTGTCTAACTGGTGGCCCATGTGTTGCAGGCAGCTCTGAAGGGTTGGCATGCAGCCCCCAGACTCTCACCCAGCTGCCATTTCTCTTCCCCACTTGTTCCTGCTGTGGCAGCTGGGAGGGTGCTGGACTGCCTGAGCTGCACACATGGCAAAGAGAGCCCGCCTACACTGCAGATGGGTGGCGTGTGTGGCCGGGAGTGTATGGGTGCGCCAAAGGAAAGGCAAGCTGCTTGAGCAGTGGGGAGGCGGCCCATGTGGCAGGGAAATGGGGGAGCCAGGTTGCCCACACTGTCTGGTTGGGAGAGTGATGCCAGCTCACCTCCCCCCTTCTCTCAGCCACACACACCACACAGGGAAAACTGGACTGCTTGTGCTTGTAAGATGCACACAGCTGGAGGAGAGCTGAACAGCCTTGCTCTGCCTCCCAAACTGCACATGCAGTAATATGTATCCTTCCCACTGTGGGGAGGGAGCTGGGCTGCCTTTGCTGGCAGGGGGGCTGTCCCCACAGCCCCTGCATGCAGCTGAGGCAGGGGAGACCTGGGCTGTATGGACAGTTAGAGGGGTGGGGGTGGCACTGGGCAGCCCACATGGTTGGGGACACCCTGGGGGGGCACCCATATGACATGAAGTCCCTGTGTCTGTGGCCCATGTGGCATCCAACCCCTGGCTTCCTGGAAGTTGGACAACCCTGCAATAATGCAAATCGTGACCTCTGATCTCAGGCACAACACAGTTGCATATGTGCATTAGCAAAGCATGTGTTCTGAGGGAAGGCATATGAGAATGAAGTTCAGGTCCTCTGCTGAAGTGTGAGTTAGTGGAATGCATTACGTGCTTTATATCAGTATTACGCTGTCTTATTCTGTGGGAGGCAGAAAGGATGTTTGAAGATGAAAGCTCTGCTCATGGGAGTTATTAATGGGTGTATGCCTGGCAAGACTTGTTATGATCAAAGATTCCTTGATCATGATCCCTGATTGTGAAGCTTAGGTGGACCCAACCTCCCACAGAAACCACAGACAACCCTCATATTTGTTCCCTTCTTCCATGGTCTTTTAGATTCATCTGGATGGTAGGGGAAGCCAATGGAACATCAAGCTCTCTGTATACATTTCCTACCATCTACCAGTTGTGCAATATCCCCACTGGGAATGTTCTTTCTTTATCTGCTGGCATTACCAAGCTAATAGTCTTCCTCTGGCTTATCATATCAACAGCTAAGCTGGAGGTCACTGGCTGTTCAGAAAAAGTTTCTGAGGAGTGAGGATGCCTTAAATTTAGATGGTTTAAAGGAAATGTGTCATGACTTTTCTGTGCAACCTCTTCTAGTCTTCAACTTACTGACCTATTCCTCTGTAACCAAGAAGTAATCAGAAGAGCAAGTGGTGCTTCTCAGCATAGTTTCCAGCAGTTCTAAAAAAAAGAGTTATGTATTTAAAAATAATACATTTTGAACTGTTACACTTATAGCGTTGAAGATTCTGCATCTGAAATAAAGAGGAAGTACATTTCAGAGATTTTTTTGAGGTTTTGGAACTCAGTATGAAGTAAGAAATTCAACAGCACCAATAAAAAATGCTTCCCTTAAAAAAAAAAGGACAACTAACCTGAGTTACAAAGAAATATAAATGGTACATCAAGATGAAATCTTAACTATGGTGACACATTTACACTTCCACATTGTTACTTTTACAACTAGCAAAGGCTGCTGCTAATGTCATGTTTCCCTCTTGCCATTCTGGATTTGTGTTACTAAGTCATAGACCAGCCTGGGGAGGCTGCTGTAACTTACACACGGAGCCACTTGAGCCCAACTCCTAGGACTGTGGATGTGACATAACTTTTTTACCTTCTAGTCTCTCACTTCAACTTTTACGCTGCACCTTTTTGATGTGAAATGCAAAACCTCACCCCCATTCTGTTGTGCAAAGTCTTGTCTTGATTGTCTTTCCCTGATTTCATTGATTCTCATTAGGGCAGGGAAGATGGTTTTTATCTGTGCTTCTAAGTTGTGCAAAGGTATCGCTTGGACACATGCCAGTATGTACATGTAAATGCACAGAGTTAATAATAGTTAATAATACATTGCACTTCTATGGAAATTTTAAAAATCTAGCAAGGAGATATCATTCATGAGAGGACCCTCTTGTTTTTGGTTTCTGTTAAAAAAAAAAAGTATCTAAGCTTTCTTTTTTAAAGCAAAATTATAATCCTCTTGAAATGCCTTGAAAATGTCATTGATTGCTAAGATTAAAAAAAAAGATATGCAGCTGTATACTTGTGCAGTAGTAGGAGGACAGTGTGTCCTAAAGAGTCCAACACCCATGACTTAGGTCAAATTAGCTAATTTGGGTTAGGGTGTATCCTAAAGAACCCCTAAGTATTGGGGTATGATAATCATGGACAGAAATCAGATGAGAGGGGATTTCAAAATAATTGTTTTGTCACCTGCCCCACAATGTTAACACTGGATAAAATGTAGTAGCCCCTCTGAATGCACCCACTTGCTATGCATTCATCAGCCGCTGGAAAGTGAGCTCTCTTCTGTCCCTTCCTCCCTCTGACATTTCTAAGTGGGCGTAGAGCATTCACAGCATAGGCCCTGAGCCCCATTCTGCAGTCAGCCCCTCCTGAAGTGCACAAGGAGATGAAGAGGAAGCGGGGCCTTATTGCCGAGTAGAATTCTGTAGTCTTTACAGGCTTATCCACATGGGAAGTTAGTGCAGGTGTGAATTTACTGTGTATGGTTACCATATTTCCAGGTCCAAAAAAGAGGACACCTGTCACCAGGGGGGGTGGAACATGATGGTGGAAAGTAGTGACATACCAGTGCCCTGCCCCTGCCCATTCTGTTGCCCCTCACTGATGAGCCACACACGCCCAACCCTGCCAGTGCCCCTCACTCCCAAACAGCAGTACCCTGCCCCCCCACCTCTTGCTGGCACCCTTCACTACCAACCCGCAGCCCCCTGGCACTGCCAGTGCCCTGCACACCCAACCCGCAGTCACCCGCCCTGTCCTCTGTGCCCCTCACCCCTGATCCACAGCCCCTGCCCCACTCTCAGCCCTGGCGCTACCCCTCACTCCTAGCCTGCAGCCCCTTGCCCCGCCAGTGCTGCTGGTGCCCCTCTGGACCCACAGCCTCTTTCCCCCCGGCCCTGCTGGTGCCCCTCACTCCCGACCCCGGACCCCTGCCCCCCAGCTCTGCAACCAAGCAGCTCCCGTACCGCGAGTGCACCCGCGCCCTCTCCCAATTTACCTGGCTTGGTAGAGCCTGCACGGGGAGCACGTGACCCCCGACAGCCAATCACCTTGCCTGAAGCAGCCAGCCCCAGACGGCAGAAAACCCGGACGTTTGCTGTTATTTTAAAAGCCTGCCTAGACGCAGCACAGGGGTCCAAAAAAGAGGACATATCCGGGAAAATTCAGACGCATGGTACCCCTGTCTACATTGTCCAAGCTTTTCACATGGAGACTTCAGCAGGCACTAAGAGTTTGTCTACAAAGGGACACTCAGGAAAATCAGTCCAAATGAACTATAGGTGTAAATGTAAAGTGGACCAGTGAAACCCCCTGCTTAGATCCTCTTGTTGCTTCTGGAAAGGAAGGTGCGGTTACTTTTTCAGCTGCATTTGACCTGTCATCACCCTGGCTTCCGTGCAAACAAGCAGCTTCGATTAGGGCCTTTGCATCGGCTCCTGATCTAATTTCTCCTACCTTATCTTAAGCTGCACAAAAGGGAGAACAAGAGAAGTGAAGAACAAGGAGAAGGTCAAGAATAATGGGATTGAGTACTTGTTTCAGGTAAGACTTTTCTTGGAACAGTTTCACTCTTTGGTGTTGATTCATGGCTTGTAAATAATCATTGCCAGAGTTAAGATCTAGGAGATCAAAAGTGGCTACAGCGCTACAAGATGAGGGAGTGTTTTTCTGGAGATTTGTGCAGAGCTTGGCCCAGAGTTGCAGATGCAGGACACTAATAGAATAATTGCTTATCAATTCAGAAGCATATGGTCATTGCCATCTGGACACTCACAACTCGGACTGCTGTTGGTCTGTAGCCAATCGATTTGATGAAGGCAGCTTGACTTGTAATAGAAGTGTTTGCTGCTATTAATATGGTACTGCCTCTCCCTGTTGTAAGGCTTGACAGTCCTCAGGAAGTTATTGATGGTACTGCATGTATGGGATTTTCCAAATGCAGGGGTGGGCAAAATACGGCCTGTAGGCTAGATCCAGCCTGCTAACTGACTGGATCCAGCCCACAGATGCCCCCATGGCATTCTGCATGGGACTGAACTTCACTAGCTCCTTCCAGGGCAGCCCACACATTGCTCTCTGCAGGGACAGCCACGGATTACACCACCGGGACAAGCTTTGCTGCACACCCTCCCCTCCTCCCACTCCTTCCACTTACCGCCAGCTGGCTCCTGGGACCTAGCTCCCAGGCAGCCTCCTTCCACATGTGCACATGCCCCCCGGCAGGACATGCAGGGAGCAGATTGAAGCTGGGCCCCAGCCCTGAGCTCTCACCACCCCATGACCTAAACCAGTGGTCTCCAAACTTTTTTGATCACATACCCCTATCAGTAAAAAATTTTTGAGCACACACCCCCAATATATGTATATTTATATAAATAGAAGTTCTAATATTTTCTTCCCACACCCCAGTGGATCATCTTGCATACCCCCTGGGGTGTGCACACCCCACTTTGGAGACCACTGACCTAGACTCACCCTCCCCTCCCGGTCCAGAGGATTGCTTACCTGCCCAAAGCCCCATAGGGAGTTTTGGTGAGTTGTTGGGCGGGTGGGTGCTGACCCAGCCCACGACAGCTCGTCAAAACCCCATAAGTGGCCCTCTGGCCCAAATAATAGGTTCTTCTCCATTGTGTTCCATGACCTCATTGATCACTACAGTGAATTTACCAATGTGAACATGGAGTGGCCTGGAAAAGTTGTGATGCTAGAATTTTCAGGAACTCTTGCTTGTGTTCTCTAATGAAAAAAGTGTTTTGCTAAAACTGGGGGACTTTGCTTGCCCTCTGCTGTACTAGCTGATGGAGTTTTGGATCATAGCACAGAACTGTTTAACTACAACTAAAACAGCTGCAGCTTAGTAGTAGAGCATACCTTTGGGAGGTGGAAGAGCAGATGATTTAAGTTTGTAGGGGAAAGCTTGAAACAACTAAGTAATGCCTGCCTCTAAATCAAACAGCCTGATGTCAGCTGCAGAACGTGTGTGTGAAAGGGAGAGAGAGCAAGATATACAAAATGTAGGTTCAGAAACTTTCAAGACACTTGGAAGAAGCCATGAGATGCCTTCTTCTAAATCAGTGATTCTCAACCAGGGTGCTGTGGCTCTCTGTTGTGCCATGAGATCCTTTCAAAGGTGCTGTCAGGTGTCGCGTAATGTTAGTACTGTTAGGTGAGCAAACATGATTCACAAGATAAACCTAGAAGAGATTTCAGATATGAGTCCTTAGTGTTAAAAATATTCTGGCCTGTTGTGGTCTTCGTGAGTTCTTTGGTTCTTTGCAGAATTGCTTTATTTTTTTTTAGTAGTCAAAAATAATTGTAAACTAAGATTTAGTGTTTTCCAAAAGGTGCCTCAAATCTATCAAGGATGGCCTTGAGTCTGAAAAGGTTGAGAACCACTGTCCTAAACAGCAGTCTCTAGAGACATGTTGTCAGGAATGCCTTGGCATCTATTTTGAGGAAAGGGCATGTTGTTTTAGTTGCATTCTTCCCCTAACATGCTTTGAACTGCTTGTCTTGGTTCATGGGGCTGCGGTCCGTTGGGCTGTGTGAACAAGTCCAAAGTTCAGTGAGCTGTTAGTGCTGTTTTGCAATGTGTTTGAAGCACATTGGGAGTTAACAATATTTGTGCCTGGATAATAGGATTGTGCAGTGTCTCCTACCTGGATTTTACTTACTGCTGCAATACCTTTTGTCACTTGTAGATAAAAATGCCATTTGAGACTTTTACTGATAAACAGGGATCTGGGTTTTCTGTTTTCCACAGAAAAACAGAGTAAAATGTGGATTTCTCCCAGAGAAAATGGATTACCAGAGTAAAACTCAGATTTGGCAGTTTTGCAATGAGCCCTCTGCAGGCTGGCAGAGTTCC